CTAGTTCAAGTGGGGGAGAATTGTAATGCCTCGATCCCCATGTATTGATATTTCAAGGTCTACTCGACGAGTTAGTTTCCCGACTCGTCTAGTAGCAGCGGGTTGGTCTACGTGTTTAAGTGACCTACTCGCCAAGTCGAAGGAGAGACTCGACGAGTAGGAGCTGGAGGATTAAACCCTAATTTCCGGGGTTTTTCACCCTATTTAAAGGATCATCGGCCTCCCCAGCCTCCCCTTCACAGCCTCTTGATACCCCATAGCCCTAACTCGTGTGAGTGTGCTCCATTTGTGTGTCTTAAGCTTTGAAGAAGGAATTTTGGTGAGAAAATATTGGGGAGCCAGCAACTAGAAGCAAGGAACACGTGGGAATCAAAGATCTACCTCAATTGGCATCCTTTGGAATTTATTAAGCTGTTACCTTGGTCTCATTTCATTATAGATCTATTTTGGGTGGATTTTAGGAAGCTTTTCTTGTGTTTGAGCTAAGATCTGAAGTTGCAACTTGAGATTTGAACTCTCTTGGGTCTCTAAGTCCATAAAGTTGTCAGATTTGGCAAGTATGAACCTCCCGTCAAGTGTATGACTTCTTTGCAAGCTTAGTTTTGTCATTTTAAGACTTTAGAGCCTTGTATGCACGTAAAGTTTGCCTTGGGAAGCTGGATCTGCAATATGGAGCCTTTGCATGGCTTAAAAAGCAACTGTATGGATGAAGGATTGAAGGGACTCGGTGAGTTGCATGGTCACGGCGAGTCCGATGAAGATTGTTGTGGGCTCAACGAGTCAGATGAGTGACTCGACGAGTCGGCTAGGGTTTTCCCAACCTTTGGACATATATGAACTTGGAGAGTTGCAAGGGAAACTCGACGAGTCGGCCAAGGAATTTACGACCGTAAACCTTAGGAGTAGCTGAGGGTCCAAATATGACCTCATAAAAAGTCCTAAACGACAAAACTCAACCAAGTGTGGGGCATTAGTTAACATAAATTGGGACTTAAAGTCCTAAACGAGAAAACTCACCTAGGTGTGAGACATTAGTTAACATAAATTTGGACTTAGAATAGAAGATAACCACATATTTTATATAAACGAGTACCTTTAGCGATAACCATTATAATATCGTACATGTTTTTATTGTTTAGCCAAAACGGTGGCGTATAGTTCTTTCTCTGCCTAAGGGATTTTGAAAGTACCGCGAATATATGGAATTAGGGTTTTCCACTTCGATACGGGTTCCAATTGAGTGCTTCCATCGAAGTGATCTACACCATAGCTCAACAGATTAGGTAAACCTGACCAAAATACAGCTTATTTTGTTACTTTTTATCTATTTGATTTAATTATTCTCTGCTAACTTTGCTATTCAATTCCTCAAGTTAAATCACAAGTAAAAATGAGTGGCTTCAAGCTCTGGTGGATTGAAGGAGCATTCGCTATTTTACTGCTATTAGTTCCTGGAAATTTAGGATGGGGTAAAGAAGGACACTATGCGACTTGTAAAATTGCCGAGGTAAAAGTATTTCCCTTTTTCGCCTTTAATTAAATGAAATTTCGAATCTGGTGCCATATTATTAGTCTCCAATTCAAGTCAAGGATACACGAATATTCTGATAATAAGGATTTGATTTCTTCAGGTAAGAGTAAAGTTTTCCATTCGAATTGCAAAGTTCAATTAAGGCATTTTTTTAGCAAAATTTGAGGGGTTTCCGATCAATTAAAATTCCATTGTTGATACTATACACTAATGCGTTTATAACAATATTGGAGATTCAGATGCTTTCATGCTCTTCTAATTCATCAGTAAAAGGATCTTAGAGATAACTTTGTCCATGTTGGATATATGTGTTTCTGTTGCTTGAAGTTGTAAAAATCACATTTGATTGTGTTGATTGATCTAATTTTCTTTTTACCAAATCAGTCATTCCTTTCTGAAGAAGCTTTAAAGGCAGTGAAAGAATTGCTTCCAGAAACTGCTGAAGGTGATCTGGCTTCTGTTTGTTCTTGGCCTGATGAAATCAAACACCGTTATAACTGGAGGTGGACTAGTGAATTGCATTATGTTGACACCCCTGATTTTAGATGTAACTATGATTACTGCAGTAAGTTTTACCACTTTCCCTCAATTTCATCTCACTTATCCTGTTTCTTTCTACATTTTCAACTCACACTTATTAAAGAAATAGATTTTGGGGTAGTTTATGGAATAGGAGAAAAGTTCAGGGACTAAAACTGTAACATTACATTTCAATCAACTATTTTAAGCATTTCCTCATTGTTAAGAATACTCAAATACCTTTCGAGTTAATGTTTTAGGGGATTGCCATGATTCATCTGGAGTGAAAGATAATTGTGTTACTGGAGCAATTTATAATTACACTGAGCAACTTGTTACAGGCTATAATGCTTCAAACTCAGTAGTCAACTGTAAGCACCAATTTTCAAATTTTCATTATTATTATTTTTTTTTTTTACAATTTATGAAAAGTGGAAAACTCATCAAAGAATCTTTGATTACAGATAATTTGACTGAAGCACTTATGTTCCTTTCTCATTATATTGGGGACGTGCATCAGGTTAGTTAGAAACCCTTGAGTAAATGACCATAATACCCCTAAATAGGTCGTGTAGTTTACCAGCGATGATTTCTAAGGCTCCTTTTTTTTTCTTTTTTTTTTTTAAGTGTTGTCTTGATAAATGATGTTTAGAAACTGTTAGAGAAAATGGCAACAAACTTGGGAAAATAAACTAGGGCAAATATGTAAATTTGACCTTGTTTATAAGTTTTAGACAGACATAGAAACTTTGGTGGTGTTTGTTATGAAAAAAAAAAAAAAACTGTTTGTTTTGTATAATGGAACCGAATAAAACCATTCTTGATGGAATGTTATTCCTTTCATTGTATCAACTATTGAGGGGTATTTTGGGCATTTCACCAAACTAAGGGAGGAAAAGGTTTATTGCTCAATGTTTATTAACTTTACTTATTTACTTATTTATTTATTTATAGCCGCTACATGTTAGTTTTACTAGTGATGAAGGTGGAAACACAATAACAGTCCGATGGTATAAAAGGAAGACCAATTTGCACCATGTACGTGAACGATTTCTCAAACTCTTTCATTTTAATCGAGGGGTATTTTTGTCTTTATTGAGTGGTATTTTTCAATTGCTTTTTTTTTTTTTTCACGAACTTAATATTTTTTTGAATTGTATTTTAGGTTTGGGATAGTGATATAATAGAATCTGCAATGAAAACATTTTACGACAAGGATCTCGATGTCATGATATCAGCAATTGAGAAAAATATTTCGGTATGATTACATTTTTATTTCTTCTATAAACATCATTACACATGTTTTTCTTTTGTTATGTTTTTCTGAAAATAGGACACGTGGAGTAATGACATCTCATCTTGGGGAAATTGTACATCTGGCGAAGAAGTTTGTCCGGATCCGTAAGTATAAACTACATTTTATAATAAAATAATATTATTTTGATTTGAAAAAAGAATATAATTTGGTTCTTTTTGTAGGTGGGCTTCCGAAAGCATTAAATTTGCATGCAATTATGCCTATAGAAATGCTACGCCAGGAACCACTTTAGGAGGTAAAGATATGAAATTAATTACTCGTTTCAACTTTAATTTTAATAAATTATAATATTAATAATTAATAATATAATATATTGTATGGAATGAATGAAAATGAAAATGACAACTTTGACCTTGTTTTGTGTATAGATGATTACTTCCTCTCGCGTTTACCGGTTGTGGAGATGAGGCTGGCGCAAGGCGGGGTCCGTTTGGCGGCAACACTTAACCGAATCTTTGATTCACGGCCTTCAATCGCACACAAATTGGCATCTTTTGGGAATATCCAACCCACGTGTCAAATTGCTTCAAGCTGAAAAGTGAAAACCCCCCCCCAAATATTTACAATGTGTAGACTTTTGATGGAATTTAAAGAAGCATCGTTTTGTTTATGAATCTGTTTCTAATTTAATGTATTATGTATAATGTATTATGATATGTGTGTCTTCTTTAAAATATTTAAAAAGTTACATTGACAATATATATATATATATATATATATATATATATATATATATATATATATATATATAAAATACATACGTAATAAGAATATGAAAAGTTTTAAGACCAAGTCTTAAAAACAAGCATACTATTTCATTATATAAACTAATATTACTACCGGTTATTGTTACATTTAATCTCTATAGAAACCACTCTCTATTCCCTTGATCTGAAGTGTAAATTCTCCAACTGGCTCTTTGCATCTATAATTTTTCTTATGTTTAATCCCTCTAGAATCTCCTTTTAGGAGATAGTACGCTGATCACCTTCTGTATCTCACTCGAAATCTCGCCACTGGTGATGCCATTTCAGCCACCACCTCAGCCTCCCTCTATTTCTTCTACTTTTTCTTAGTCATACTACACCTCCAACTCCCCCCTTTAAAGGAACTAAAGCACAAAACTATCATTGCTCTACCCTTCATTATATCTCTTCACCCATCATTATCCACATTCCCAGATGAACCCACAAAACAATCACCGAAACTACAATCCAACGTTAACCCTTCTATCACCAACCTTACAGTCTTCTCCATCATCCACGTCCTTCATCGGATCTACGAACACATATACATGCACCACCACTTAGCCACAACCGAAGAGTCTAATCCTATGCTTTGTCCCCACCGCTACTCTAAAACCACACCAAACCTTCACCAAATTTGTGATACACATTCCAATGTTCGTGATCTTTTTGGGACCCAGATTAATAGTTTGAGTTCCAGATGAATGGTCTGGGTCTAAAGACAAGACTTGAAGATCCAAGGTTTAAGCGAAGAAGTATGTTTTTAGGGACTTTATGTGTTTTTGTATGTACTGATATGTATTTTTTTAGGTGCTTCTATGCATTTTTCTATGAGAAATTCTACTTACTTGAATGCATTAGTGTTTGTATATGTGTGTGTTTTTGGGTATTTTGTCTATATCTATAGGTATTTACCAACATCAGTGATATTCCAAAAGTTGGGCTAACGAGTTTTGTGTTATATCCATGGATACATCAATGAAATATTAGTGGACTGAGAATGGTAATCAACTAAATCTGTATTCTAAACCAGTAATCATATAGAAAGCTGCATTCTCTTTGTCTCTATTTATGTAAATGACATTATTTAATAAGATTGCATGTTATAAGTCGCAAGTATTTGCCAAATTTATAGGGAAAGTTTCAAATATATTAGGGGTAGTTCTTAATCTTCTAATTTTACACGATTAGACATATGATGCAAATACATTTTGTTTAAAACCAAAAAGAATTATAGGAAATACTCTAAAAACTATAGTCGATAAATAATTAACGCCCACATGTTGGTGCAGGTTGCAGAAGCATTGCTAAAATGGTCTTAGTTTAGTTGTCAGGTTCCAGATAAATGATGAGATTTTCTGTACATTTTTATTAATTAAAAGGTAAGGTTTTCTTGATGATTTATTAATTGTAAGTGTGATAAGATCGATTACTATATATTAATTAAAAACCGGGAACAGATGCTACTAACCAACTTCTTGTTCTTGAACCAATTTTGTTGGAACGATTTGACTGGTTCATGTATTTGTGATTCTAGAAGTTTTTTTTTTAGTGATTTTGGAAGTTATTCACAAAGGTTACTAATAAGTAAAAAAAGAGAAAGGGAAACATGAAGGAAGTCGACATGAAGGCAGATTTAAACAAAATAGAATTCAGTGTGTTTTTTTGTCTATGATTATAATGAAGTATCTGTAATTGCAATGTTAATTTGAATAGAAATTGAGAATTTCTTCACACACCAATCTATTTCTTTTAAACAATTAAATCTCATCATAATTACTTTATAGTAGTTTACAAATAACCATTACTTTTTTTTTCTTTGCCAACCCACGTTCATTGTTTTTTTTTTTTTTTTTTTTATTTTTTATTAATATATGTCTTATTTTTAATTGTTTCTTACGTATCCTTTTATATTCCAAGCTTTTAATTAGCAAAACACAAAGAATCAACTTATTTAATAACATTAAATTTTAATTTGCAAAATAATAAATATCAACTTATTTAATAATATTAAATTAATCATCTAAAATTCTAAATTATTAAAATCATTATTTATTAATATTATGATTTATTATTTTATTTATATTTAATCATTTTTATTTAATTTTCTTGCCGTTTTATTCGAATATGTAGATTTAATGTTTATTTATTTACTTTTTGATGTTTTATTTAATTTTCTTGCCGTTTTATTCGACATTTTTTTTTCTGTTTATTCGAAACTCGCTCTTAACAAAATCAAATCATCTGAATTTTTTTGATGTTCAAACGTTGTAAAAAGTTTAAAGAAAAGTTGAAAAAGTAAGAAAAAATTATAAACAATATGACGGCGGTATCGGCGTAACGCCTGATGGTCCGGGGATTCGGTGGTCCAACGGCGGCAACTTGGTGGTTCGTGTGGTCCGGCGAAGCAACGATGAAATATAACTTCTAATATATATTTTTTATATGTATAATTATTTGATGTACCGAATAACTCCTATTTCAGCGTTATCGCCGGCGAAATATTTAATCAACTTTTAATATTTTTATTTTTTATTAGTTTTTTTCATTGATTTTTAATTATATATAAATTACAAAATCATAAATTAAACCCATAAATTTTTTGAGTATTTTTCAGTAGATATAAATTATTATTAGAGAAATATATATTATTATGAGATAAATAACTATTTTAAATATTACATAACGTGAACCACTATATTATTACTCGTGCAACGTAAAATTTATATACATATCTATTACTACTAGTAAACGTTTATTTTTAAATAGTAAAAAAAGTTAAATACTAAAAGATTAAATAATTAGAAAAAAAAAAAAGTTTTAAAGCAAGGTTGATAAGCAGGCAAAAACAAAAGTCGTGACATTCTTTGAAAAAAAGGTAAACATTGTTTTTGTCTTGTTTTATTAAAAACTAATAGATTTATAAAGAAATGATTAAAGTAATTATAAAGTCCTTTAAAAAGCAAAGTCAAATAGTAATTACTATCATTAACCTAAAAAATAAACCTAATAATATAGATTGATGTTATAGATTGGTGTGTTTTGTTATTAATTGGACAACATCCAAAATCCAAACTTCTTTTACAAAAACATTATTGGCATATAAACTATGCCTACAAAGCGTCATAAAAATTTGTAGCATACACTTTATTAATTATGGCCTCAAAAGTTTTGGAGGTTACCAATGGAATTATTATTAAATATATAGCCATAAAAGATCAAAAGATCACCATGTCGTTCCATATTCATAGACCCATTATAGGTTTTTAAATGAACAAATATATATAATAGGATGAACTAAAAACAAATCCTAAATACACTAAAACCACATAATGTGTTTATTTATTTATTTATTTTAGTGTGCCATATGATTGATGCAATATATCTTTCCCCCATTAATTCTCTTACCTTAGGTATATATTAAATGTATTTTTTTTTTAGTTTTACTAATAATCAATATTAGTTATGATCAAAATGTTCTTATACCCAAAAATAATTCATCTTTTTTTAAACAAGTTGATTAAAGGTTATAAATATTAAAATACTTAGACAGACTTGCAATTTATTTGATATTTGAGCGTTTTAATATATTTTGTGGAAATAAATAAATGGGTTAAATATACATTTATAAAATTTTGATAAGATGGAACTAAAATCAAAGAAAAAAAAATATTTGCTTCTTAAGCCCGTAAAAAATCCAATAATATGTACCAAGGGATTGATCAAAAATCAATTATTTTTAAATAGAAATACAAAGTGACATTTAAGATGGTGTTTGGAATGCGTATAATCTACTAAGAAATGTGTTTTTCAAGAAACTGGTTGGAACCATAATCGAACAAAACAAGATAAGAACCAACAAACTAGAAAAGGAATAAACCCTAAACTAAGAACTGAATACCAGTTTCGATTTTAATTCGTTTTTTTCGATTAAAATATTGATCCCTAATAGCCAAAATAAAAATTATTATTCGAGTGAAATCTATTCATCATATGCAGTGTAATTTTTTTATAAAATATATTCATTGCATTTTTGGTGTATTTTCCAGTGTTACTATTACCAGTCAAAAGAAAACCATACACACCCCTTTAATATCCATTGTTATACCCGCATCTCATGTTTTCATTCTTTAATTCGTTAATTTCATTTCCAAATATGTATAACTTTTAATTTTATAAAAATGATAAAAAAAACAGAAATAAAATTGCAAACAAAGTGAAATACAATGCTAAAATAAAACAAAAACCTAAAAAAAGCCAAAAATGATTACTTTGTCCAATCGAAAAACATTTTTTTTTGTTTCTTTTCGTGGTTGACAAGCCCAACAAATTTTGATTATAGTGATGCTTGACAAAGAACAATCTCGAGTATTCTTCTTCAACTGCATTTTCATCATGCGGTGCTTGACACATTCACTAAATTTAACTAACCGTCGCAAGAAAACAATTCATCGAAATAAAACTAACTGTCGCCGCTGCATCACGCGAGTACCCCACTATTATATGTATAGTGGAAAAATCCGGGTTTTGCCCCGGACCGTTTTTTATGTTTTTTATGAAAAAATGTAAAAATTTTGACTATAAGGACCAAAAGTATCAAAATGACTAACGAATTAAAGGGGTTCGAATTAGCAAGTTTTTAAAAAATGAACAAAAGTTGTCAATTTCTTAAAGTTTTGTGATCAAACTTTGAATATTAAAATGTAAAATTTTTTATTGTAATGACCAAAAAAATCAAAATGGCTAAAAATGAGAGCCAAAGTTTATAAAAAAAACATAAAAATTAGTATTCTATAAAAATCTTGATTGTAATAACCAAAAGTATCAAAATGACTAAAAATAAGAGATAAACTTGACAAAAAAAACATAAAAGTTAGTATTCATAAGGAAAATGTTTTAATATATATATATATAAATATTAAATATTAATTAAATGTGATATTTAATAATATAAAAATAATATATATAATATTGGGTTAAAAAAAAAGAGAAGTGATGGAGTGATAACCTAGAAGGAAATGGAAGGGTGCCGTGTTTAAATGAATAAATACAGGTCATATGGAAAGAAAACTACAAGAATAAATGGATGCATATATATGGGCAAATCATCATCCCAGCAAATCCCACTGCTAGATATCAAGATTCTATACGCTCCATCAATGGCTTCCCCAAACATGACACTGAAGCTTCTGGTTGACAAGAAAGCCCAGAAAGTTTTATTTGCCGAAGCCACCAAAGACTTTGTGGATTTCCTTTTCCACATATTCTCTTTACCTCTTGGCAGCCTCATCCAGTTCCTGGGCTCCAAACAAATGGTGGGTTGCTTAGGTGATCTTAAAGAAAGCGTTGAGAACTTTAATCAAACATATCTTCAACAAGGCATCGGCAAAGATGTCATCTTTCATCCCGAAATTGCATTCAATGGAAACATTTTTCTGTTGTTGAATGCAGCTTTTGCGGAGGATAATGCACCAAAAACACTTTACAGGTGTAGTTATTCAAAAAACTGTTATGATGTCAGGAGGATATGTGAAAGATGTGGTGACTTATATGGTTATGGATAACTTGGTGGTGAAGCCCATGTCCACCATTTCAAGCATTACTCTCATCAATAGCTTTGGTGTGAAGGATTTGAGTCAGCTTGAGGAGAAAACATTGCCTTTTGGAAAAGATGAGGTAATATTTTTATAGACTTAATTTTCTTATATTAATCGGTGTCGTAATGTGGTTTTTTTTGTTTGAGTTTTGATAGGCATTGAAGCTGTTGAAGGCGTCTTTGATGACTAAACAAGTGCTCACAACTCTATTTCAGCGGGATGCGGAAATTTTTTATTTGGGTTATATTGCTGTATTAAAAATGCATCAGAAAATCCAAATTTTGAATATTTGATCCGGTTTTGACTTTGCATTAATCTTTATACCAAACCCGGATTTATAACAGTTTTGACTGTTGAGAAAACTGTTATATGACAGTTTTGACAGTTTTTCAGACAAGGAATGTATATAACCAATTTTAGTCAGTTTTCTGGTACTAACGAAATTTACACCAGATCATTCTCTCTTTCTTGACAAAATTGCAAAAATGGTCCCTGTGGTTGTCAAAATTATGCAGTTTTGGTCCAAAAAAATTTGGTGGTGCACCAGTGGTCCAATTTTGAATCTTTTTAGTGATTTTGGTCCCTATACACTTGAAATTACTTTTATACCCTTATAATTTATTTTTTCTATTTTTTGTAATACTTTAATTAGTTTAATTTATATATTTTTTTCATCTTAAAACAAAATAAATAAATAAATAAATATATAACCCACTACTCTTCCATCTTTATCATAAAACCCATTCATCACCAACTCCACCTCCATAACCGGTGCAACCCTCTTTTGTCCAGAACCACCATCGGTGGCTGCTGTTTCGCCTGAAACCACCTCCGACGCCCACCATTTTCGCCGAAAACGTAGGAGACTTCTTTACGGGGGAATGCTATTTTTCATCGGAAATCATAACAGGAAGTGTGAGTTTCATCCAAAACCAAGACATCCAACGAACACCAAAACTCCGGCGAGCACCTGACCTCCAACACAACCCGTATAATCGTCCTCTTCCTTTTCTTCTTCTTCTTCTTCTTCTTTCTGTTCCCCTTTTCCATTTTCTGAAGACAAACACCAAACTCCTTCGTCATTGTCAACTACCAACATCTTCGTCACTTCTCCCTCCTCCACTGTTCTCCTCTGGTTCTCATTCTCCTATATCTTATGACCACTCATCAAAACATGGCTTCTAATGGACGAAAATGGTGGAGTTTCTCTAAAATCACGCTCTTTAAAGCCACCATCAACATCATCCTCCATTGGAGCTTCTTCCAAGTCCTCCTGAACTAGTTTTTGAAAATTAGGGCTTGTGTATGACCGTTCTTCTCTTCTTCTATAGGGGGCTCCGTCTCGTTCACCTTCTCAAGTTAATTTCTGGTGCTCTACTGTGTTTGACTGAACTTCTGCACAATGGATCTGACCACCACCATTGTTGTCGCATACCATCACCATTTGTCACCACAAGGAAACCATAGCCCTAAAAAATATAGATCGGGACCACCGATGAATAAAGAAGGTTTCCGTTGGTGGTGTTTTCTGGAGATGAAGAAAGAAGGATGGTCCCGGTTGTGGTGTTTTCTGGTTACTGTGATGAGAATAGTGGTGTTCAAGGAGGAAATCGGGAGGTCCATCGGTGGTTCTTTGTTAAAATTTTGGAAGCAATCTTCAAAATCCCTAAATCAAAACTGAGTGGTGGTGTTTGGAGAATGGCTACCGAGAGAGAGAGAGAGAGAGAGAGAGAGAGAGATAGAGAGAGAGAGAGAGAGGGGGGTAGAGTTATTTTATTTTAATCTTTTAATTTATTTTTTAATTAAAATAGTAATAAAAAATTAAAAATAAATAAAAAAGAATTATCAAAGGGCATATTCGTCATTTCATGTTGGGTTTGGACCAAAAACACACAACAATTCCAACTATAGGGACCAAAACTGCATAAGGTATTCGAAATTGGACCACTGATGCACCGCCAAACTTTTTCGGACCAAAACTGCAGAATTTTGACAACCACAGGGACCATTTTTGCAATTTTGTCCTCTTTCTTTCTCTTTGATTTTATCTGAGTCTTATCCAATTGAGGATTTGGGAGTACCACCCAAATACTTCGATTTGAAAGTGATTATCACGATTCTCAGATTTCCAAGTGCCACTAAACCATATTTCTAACATTTTGCTAGAGTAGTCGTGGCCCATGCTATATATCTTTTGAGTGATCTTATCTTTTGTTATCATATATGGATGTTCATGAGTTTGGTTGAGGATTTGATCTTAAGTAATTTATGATCGTATGTAAGCTTTCAAATCATTATGCATTAGTTATAACACCATGTATAAATACCCAAAACAATATATATCACTACGGAAAATGGAAAAGACAATCTAACCATACAAACTTTTTGTTTTTACTTTAAAAAGTCATTTTTTTAATCCTTACAATTTAAATTACCAACTAAATAGGGTATTTTGTTTCTTTTATATTGTTTTACCGGTAAAAAAGTTAGATATATGGCTTTATTATAATTCATACTAATGAAACATTTTTCATTTTATTATAATTCATATTAATAAAACATTTTTCATTTTACCACGTACTCTTAATTTTTTATATTTTCATATAATATACTTTCTAACTTAAATATGTTATTAATTATAAATGTTATTATGAATGGAAACTTCTTGAATTATAAATAACTTCATTATAGTGTTAAATACCTAACCTAAGTTAATATATTAAACAAATTTAAAAATATAATGTAAAATTTAAAACCTAAATTAAATATCAAATAAAGTTTAAAAAAACTCGATGTATATTTTTTAGAAGAGTTAAGAAAAATATTAAATATAATTAACGTGAAAGAAAATAAATCTAAAAGTAAAATAACTAAAAGATCTCCAAAAACTATTTTTTATAATAACTAAAATTTTGTTAACTTTTTATAAAATTAATTATAATAATAATAGTTAAAATAACATAAATTATATTATATTACATCATAAACAATGATTGATAATTTAAATAATCATCACGTTGAAATTAAAATGTTGTTAATTTTTCTTTAAAGTTAATAAATCATTACATTAGTTAATTAAAATAGATAAAAAATATAACTAATTTTATACACATGTAAAGCGAGAGTAGATACCATTAAATGATTGAATTTTAGTAAGTCTTATATTATCTATTGTTCAAATTAGTTATAATGTTACATTAACTATATGTGAATAATTATTTTTTAGTTAACACAAATTACAGAAATATTTTCAATGACATATCTAAGGCTTCGTTGCTTTTTTTTAGGTGTTGTTTTAATAAATGATGTTTAGAAACTATTAGAGAAAATGGCAACAAACTTGGGAAAATATATGAGGGCAAATATGTAAATTTGACCTTGTGTATAAGTTTTAAACAGACGTAGAAACTTTGGAGGTGTTTGTTATGAAAAAAAAAAAAAAAAAAAAAAACTGTCTGTTTTGTATAATGGGACCGAATAAACCATTCTTGATGGAATGTTATTCCTTTCATTGTATCAACTATTGAGGGGTATTTTGGGTATTTGACCAAACTAAGGGAGTAAAAGCTTTATTGCACAATGTTTATTAACTTTACTTATTTATTTATTTATTTATTTATTTATAGCCGCTGCATGTTAGTTTTACTAGTGATGAAGGTGGAAACACAATAACGATGGTATAAAAGAAAGACCAATTTGCACCATGTACGTGAACGATTTCTCAAACTCTTTCATTTTAATTGAGGGATATTTTTGTCTTTATTGAGTGGTATTTTTCAATTGCTTTTTTTTTTTCATGAATTTATTTTTTTGAATTTCTATTTTAGGTTTGGGATAGTGATATAATAGAATCTGCAACGGAAACATTTTACGACAAGGATCTCGATGTCATGATATGAGCTAGGGGTATCAATTTATGACACGACACGACAAAAATACACGACACGAAACGAAATCGGGACGAAATCAAAATTCGAATTCGTTTTTGTGTCGTGTTCGTCCCAAGTTTAAAAAACACGATGTCGTGTCGTGTTTACAAATCCACACGAAATTAACACGATTGAGCATGTATTTGTCGTGTTTTCGTGTTTGTCGTTTTTATCGTGTTATATATGATTAAATATGAATTAAATAAAATAATAGTTATGTAATATTATCTTTGTCGTGTCGTGTTGTGTTGTCGTTTTTTAATTGCTTCGTTTTCGTGTTAGTGAAAAGAAACACGACATCGTGTCGTGTCGTGTTACAAAAAACATTATCGTGTCGTGTCAGACAAAAACACGACACGACGGTCCGATTTGACAGGCTTAATATGAGCAATTGAGAAAAATATTTCGGTATGATTACATTTTTATTTCTTCTATAAACATTATTACACATGCTTTTCTTTTGTTATGTTTTTCTGAAAATAGGACACGTGGAGTAATGACATCTCATCTTGGGGAAATTGTACATCTGGCGAAGAAGTTTGTCCGGATCCGTAAGTATAAACTACATTTTATAATAAAATATTATTATTTTGATTTTAAAAAGGGATTGGCTAAAAAAACACCTTATTTTACCATTTAGACAACCCTAATTAATGTTTGAAAAAAAAGAATAAAAAATTTGCATGCAATTAATAATTTAATAAAAAAAAATTCTTTTAAAAAAAGAATAAAAAATTAATAATTTGGTTCTTTTTGTAGGTGGGCTTCCAAAAGTATCAAATTTGCATGCAATTATGCCTATAGAAATGCTACGCCAGGAACCACTTTAGGAGGTAAAGACATGAAATTAATTACTCGTTTCAACTTTAATTTTAATAAATTATAATATTAATAATATAATATATTGTATGGAATGAATGAAAATGAAAATGACAATTTTGATCTTGTGGAGATGAGGCTGGCGCAAGGTGGGGTCCGTTTGGCGGCAACACTTAACCGAATCTTTGATTCGTGGCCTTCAATCGCACACAAATTGGCATCTTTTGGGAATATCCAACCCACGTGTCAAATTGCTACAAGCTGAAAAGTGAAAACCCCCCAAACATTCACAATGTGTATGTGTAAGACTTTCAATGGAATTTAAGGAGACATCGTTTTGTTTATGAATCAGTGCTTCTAAATTAATGTATTATGGTATGTGTGACTTCTTTAAAATATTTAAAAAGTTACATTGAAAAAATATTATATATTTTTCTTTCATTTGTTCAATTGAGATTTTTTCACAAGTTTAGTCACTGTATATTGAAAGTTGGTCACACTCACTCTTGGAAAATGACCACAACACAACATGCTAAAGAAGTTTC